AAAAGCTAAGTTTTATAATCATGGACAGATCCTCATTTTTCCAACATTATAATTAAATGTTATCTAATAACAGGTACAAACAAGATTTACATAAGATCTAAGTATACTATTTGTGTCAGCTTCTTCAAACATTATTAGCTTTTAAAAGCTAAGTTTTATAATCATGGACAGATCCTCATTTTTCCAACATTATAATTAAATGTTATCTAATAACAGGTACAAACAAGATTTACATAGATCTAAGTATACTATTTGTGTCAGCTTCTTCAAACATTATTAGCTTTTAAAAGCTAAGTTTTATTATCATGGACAGATCCTCATTTTTCCAACATTATAATTAAATGTTATCTAATAACAGGTACAAACAAGATTTACATAGATCTAAGTATACTATTTGTGTCAGCTTCTTCAAACATTATTAGCTTTTAAAAGCTAAGTTTTAATATCATGGTCAGATCCTCATTTTTTCCAACATTATAATGTTACTTACTCAATTATATTGTAAGTTCATCTAGTATATGGAAAACCTACAAAGTATGCACACTTCGGGGACTTCATACTTGTAGTGAAGAAAGCTTACAGGAAAGTTGAAATAACTTATGGTTTGCCTGATATCCAGACAATTTGTAGTACAGTATCAAATCACCACTACCTCAACCTTCACTCAAGAATTGTCAGACACAAAAGTATTTATTGCATTCACATTATAAAGTCTTTTCACACAATCTCACAAGAACTTACTAGATTGACTAATTCCAAGTCCTTTTTGTATGTTCTTTCTGTCATTAATAGTTCTTTTGCAATGAAGTAGGCCTTGTCAGCAGGAATTTTCTAGAAGTAAAAAAATTATAATTTTATTTCCAAAATTCTCAAGATCAGATGGGCATAGATAACTCTTAATTAACACTGTGACGAGCCCATACTGATAATGAGCAACGAACATTCAGCTTGTTACTCTTTTAAACTTCGTACATCTGTAAAAATATCACAACATGCGTAATTAAAGAGGCACGTTTGGTTCTAACAGTGAATGATGCAAAATGTTTTGTAGATCTTGCCAGTATAACCATGTGAATGTTTTGTAGATCTTGCCCACATCACCATGTGAATGTTTTGTAGATCTTGCCCATAAACCATGTACTTGATATTTAGGGAAAAAAACAACAAATAT